AGCGAAGGGGGTAATATTTCCCCCTTCAAATCCGTATTAAGGAGTAAATATTCCTTAAATGTTAAATCGATTACATGTGAGATGCGCATTACAAATGTTTTAATGTGGATCATTTTATATAACGAAATCAAATTACGCGTGGCTGGGTGAATACTGAATTGGGCTTATTGTCGGGTCCATACTTGGTGAAAAATAAAATAAAATACAAGCGTAACTTTCAAAACACAGACTGGTGTTAAAAAAGAACTACTCAAAAGTCGATTCTAAGTAGATCCGGCATCAGATTAAAAAAAAAAAAATCACATAGGTATATTAAGGATTCACCAGTACTCCCCTATAAGTAAGTCTAAATATGTCCCTGGGTATCCGTCACAGTTTTGCCGATAACTGAACACCGCTGAACACCGCGAACCGTCCCTGTTTAGTTGAGGGAATTCGTGTTTTTACCCGACTGATCGTTGTTGACGTCACGTTCGATTCCCACCGATATCGCACCAACCGAATGTTGTTCGTCGTATCCGGTACGCGCGTTACGACCAGCTCGGATTTTCTGGCGACGATATTAATGTTTATAATACCTGTGTAAATAAACACGGTGCAGGCGTGATGAGACGATCGTTTGTTTCGTTTTTGGTTCGAACGATTTGAACTGTTCGTTGTTCATAACTTGAAAATAATAATTGTTGCTCGGACTTGCGGTCCCGAGATTCGAGGAGTTTTTTTTAAAAAAATTAACACCCATACGAGCCCGAAACGATCGGAGGGTGGCGTTGCAATGCGTGCCTAACGCGACAGAATTAATTCCAAATATGTGCGGCCAGACACAGCTGAACAATAAGGACTGTTACGTGTCCTCGCACCAAATCGGTGACGTTGTTCAGCAGGTGCAACGAACGAGTCACCCTTTCGACTGGAAAAATATTCAAAACCGCCTACCGAACATGAAACTATACACATATATAATGATACAGCGTGTTACGTTTTGTGTATATTATAATTTGTGTTGAGAAATTCGGCTGTTTTATTCGATGAATAGGGCCATTAGGCGGTCTTTTATTTGTACGCGCGGAGACCTCTCGAGAGTTACGACCCGCTCACTTTTAACGTATTTATTTCACTACTTTTGTACACTCCTGAGTGATTTTCCACAAACACAAATCTCCACCGTGGGCGCCGCATACAACTCTAACATTCCGTTGAACGCGCATCGCGTACAAACAATATTTTACGGCAATTGCGTAAGAGTCGCACGTCCAGCAAATTATTACCGTTGCAACGCCGTACAAAAGCCACTGAAACACGATCAATGCGTCGCGCGACGTAACGCCTTTAGGTTTCGGGGAAAACAAAATACAAATTACCTATCCAAGACAGTCAAGTATTGATGCTAAATAAATACGCACGCACGCACACCCGTGTTACATTAGATACACGTTGAACCGTGTCATTGTTATGGGCCCATGAATGTTTCAAACGTATATTTCGTCAGAAATTAAAAAAAACGCATACGTGTATCACGATTATTGTGCAGCACGCGCATACCTTTTATGATTGAAATGACGTAGATTGTATTATGTTTACATTTAATTTGTACTTGATTTTTTTTTTTTTGTACAAACGGTAAAAGTCGAATGATGTTTAAACTAACGTCTCAAAGACCGATGTACGAATAAATTTGGTTTTTCGATACGATATTCTCAAACTCGCACGTCCTTCTCCTATAGCTACTATAGGTTCCGAAAACTGCACAAAGCTTTATAGGTACAAATCCGTCAGAAACAAAATGTCAACATAATAAATAAATATTTCCGTGGAAATCAATTTTTTCCGACATCGATCCTCGTTTCAAGCGTAATATTATAGTATTAATTGTAGCTATATTATATTTTCTTTTTTTCAGAAATCAATATCATTATTTGCTTAAATTATTCAATGGGTATTGACCGTTTTCCGTTTTATAATTTGTTATAAATAGTTATTTATAATTTTTGCTAGACTGATAGTTTTGTTGTATTCGAATTATATTTAAGAAAAAATTTTACTATTATAGGTAGCTGTTTAGTGAGTAATAAATAAGTTAGATTATGACGTAGTAGAATAAAAAAAATATTAAGTGTAATATGTAGTGTAGCTTTTATGACTATACATATGTTACATTCAGTGATAATTCAATTTTTTGTTTTTCTAATTAAATATTCTCTGAAGTAATTTGGCCGTAAATAATGTAAAACGTTTTTAAACATTTTTATTGATTTAAATTATTTAATGAAATACCCGAGTGTAATAAAAATAACCTTATCATTAAGCCGTATATCGAACAAGCTTATTTTGATTGGCCAAATATTTACAATGAAAAAGTTGGTAATATTCATATTTATAATCAATGCTTTTGAGCAAATAGCGTTTGAGTTATAACTTATGCTTTTAGAAAATCCAAAGTAAGAGTTTTGTGAGTTTTTAAACTTATTATAAGTGACAGATAAGATACAAGACAATAAGAGAACCTACTTCCGCTTTTGAGGAGCTCTCGGGACTATTTAAAAAATCGAAATTTACAACAACATTTGTTTCAAATGTTTTTGTTTATTTTTTTTTATTTTTTCTTCTATTTTCATCTTTTATTTTTGGTCTTCTCAAAATATATTTAGTTCAATTTCTTTTATCCATTGCGAGACTTATACGTACTTACGCTTCATATGAAAATATATTTCGAGATTACATACTCGTAAACACTAAAACACAATTTCCTGTTCACAGCCTTTATAACTTTGTTTCTCGTTTATTTCTTTCGTTCAATGTTTGATAAAAATTTTACGCGAAGAAATATAAAAAAAATATTCGAAATATCTTTTCTTTTTTTTTTTAGTGACTGTTAAAGAAAATATATAAAGCAAGTTTAATTATCATGATAACGTAGTTGTATACAATTGGAATAAAAATAAAAGTATTAGTAAACTTCTGCATCCGATTTGATATAAAGTTAAACTTATTATAAATGTTATAATTAGTTAAAAAAAAATTAATTTGTTTTTTATTTAAAATTGTTTATTACTAACAGTTGGAGTTCTTTAGTGGCGTAAAATATAAAAACACAATATTTTACACCACGATAAAAATATTTTTGACTTAAACAAACATGTGTAAGTATTATTGCTTTTAACGTTTTATTTTTGAATATTGAAAATAAAATAATATGAAAGTAATAGTTCACTGCAAAAAGGTGCATACTGCTTCCGTTTCAAACGGATATACATAAGCACATTGAGGACTACTTATAATACAACATGCAAGCTGAAAATTATCATCATTTTTATTTCATATCATCGTGAGAAATATTAATTCTTACAATGCGATACGTGCGCACCGGTGTTTGACGGCTGAGAATGTTTTACGATTTTAGTAACTGATTGAGAACGATTGTCGGAAGGTCAAAGAAATAATATTTTGTACCTCATATTCAAACGATTGAGGACGATTTTTCCAGCGACGTTGTCGTTTATCTTATTATTTAGCGATAAAGATAATTTATTTATAATATTGCCTATAGTTATAATGTGTGGGTAACCTAAATTCAGTTGCTTTGTGGACGATGGTAACAACGTAATGTATATATGTAGTATAATGGAAAACTCTAAAATGATAACGCTTGAACTTGGAAAATAACTTTTATAACAGGGGTGGCCAGTGAAAAGAGACTCGCGAGCCACCAAATATATTAATAAATATGGAAGAGCCAAAATGTAAAAAAAAAGGTATATAATTATATAATTTATATATACATATATATATATATATATATATATATATGATATTGTAAATAATACAAGATAATGTTTCGTATTTAATATAATGTGAAGAATACGATAACAATAATTGTACAATATTGTCAAATTAAATTTTACTTCATAAATACCACAATTATCAAAATATCATAGGGACATAGACACATGGGTGTAGGTAGGAAAAATTTTCGGAGGGAGTTTTGGTCTAGATTTATATTAGTACTATAAAACATTAAAATTAAATATGAATTATTTATTTAATACAATTGAATACCAATACAATATTTTGTCCATATAAATTACAAATTTAAGAATATAAAAAAAATTATAAGATAAAATCTTGTTTTCTTTGTTGAAGTTTAAAAATATTGATTACTTCTTCCGGGTCAATATTAAAATAGATTTTAATGGATACAGTAGCTTTAGAAATTGAACTCTTGGAATTATTGGAAGATGGAGGACTGAACAGTTCAAATACAGTTGTCATTCTTTGCTGGAATTTTGGTAACATGTGCCTGTTATTAAATATCCAAAAATTACTCTTTGCGCTCAAAAATTAATATCGATTTTCAGAACAACATATTCTTGACAGTCTTTATACTCAACCATGAAAATGATTAAATCTAAACATCGATCAACATTAACGGATGATCATTTAACGGAATTGTTAAGGACTGCGTTAACAACATATAGTCCTGATTTTAAAAAACTTACAAGCAAAATAAACCGGCAATAAATAAGAAAATAGTCAATAAAGAAAAATTATATCAAGAACACTATTTTTACTAATTTTTTTTTATACACTGTAATTTAATAAAATATTATACTTTTTCAAATACATAAATTCATATAGTGAAAAATGTTTTGTAAAAAAATTACGATAAGATGCGAGCCGTGGCTTGGACACCCCTGTTATATAATAAACAATTATAAATATTCATTTTTAAGATTACGCCAAGACGGGTGTTGATGAAACGGAAATATTCCAGTAACAATAATTGTTATTGAAATTATTTTTAACACAATTATTGTAGCGCAATTTACGAACATTGTGAATCGATAAAACTTTTCATGCATCAACCGGTAAATATATCACTTGGTTTAGCAATAATAATCAAAAAATTGAAAGAAAAAGTTGTTACTTTATTATTAATTGTTAATTAATCAGTATTATATTAAAATTTAATATTGAGTACACTATTTTATGTTTTTAATCAATGCGGCAACGTTGCACAAAAGTTAGCAGATATAAACGTTCTCAATTGTATTCCACTCGTGCATCATTACGCCGTTTAATTCATCTGTAAAAGCACGTACATAAATAAGTTATTTTGAACACTGGCGTTTATTATTATAAATAGCTTACAGTTAAACATTATCAGGCACCTATAGACGTTGAGTTACATTTTCGAACAGAAAAAAATAATCATGGTTAACACATTTTAAAATCTATAACATATTATAGGTTATTTTACATCGAAAAAAAACCATACACATGACACCCTACTTAAAATGTCGTCAATCAATGAACCGTTGGTTCCTTTTTTTCCAGCCCTACCGGTTTCGTGCGACGCACAACCTTGTTAGTGCACCGTTCCAATTAATAATACACACGAACATAATAACGCGATCGTCGATTGTGTTGTACAGGATGATACGTTTCGTTGGCCCGAGTCCTGCTGTGGTTAGGTTAGGTTCGGTGTGCGATGCGACGCAGCTCTGTGCACGAATATGTTCGAAGTGTTCCGGACGAGATTTGGCGCGTGAAAAGTTATTCGTTGAATAGATTAGGTACACCGAGCAAATATTTAGTGTCTTGCATGTGAACCGACGTCTAAACTTCCCGAATCCATCATCAACGCGAATCCCCGCGGGACACCCTGTACACGCATGTATCATGCAGATGTATAATGTATACGGACGACAACGAACGGTGGAACGAATTTTGGACGCGTCTCGCACGGGTAAACTTGACTCGTCGGTAAACAAATTTAATTGGTTATCAGAACTCGAGATGAAAAATACCCGACTACTAAATAGCTGAAAAAGAAACCGTTTCGGGAACGCGTGTGACACGTACCCGCCGCGGACACGTAAGAGACCGTATCATTGGCCGTGTGCAATGGAAAACCATCAGCACGATACTTATAACGCGGGTACGTGCGACTCACTACCCGAACAATCGCCCTTTTATTTGTTTATTATTATTTTGTTTTTTTTTTTGTTTTTTTTTTTAAAATTTTTTTTTTCAACGGCTGTGGCGGAAGTGACTAAGGCTAAGGAAGAAGAATTACTTATGCTTGTTCTGGTTCGCGGATCGCTTCCCATGGACAAAGAACGATGTAATAATTATAACGATAATTATACACCTCTTTATATTAATATAACAATAATAATAATAATAATAATAATACGAGACAATAATAACAATAATGATATATGATGATAACGAAAATAACGGATTTGAGTAAAACGCCGAGAGAGAAGAAAGACGACTGCAATTCCCATGCACATAAGTACACGTGATTTCCATGTGCATAAAGAAACTCCAACAAAAGAAAACTACTGGGCGGTACTGTGTCGAAACGAACGTTACAAGTGTATCCATTCAGTGCAAGGTAAGAGGACATGAGCCAGGGTCGCAGTTCTGAAAGGGGCACAAATTTCAACACTACTTATGTAATATTTTTCACGAAATTTGAAAAATAGGTAGTTAAAAAAAATTTAATTTGATAATGTCACAGATAAATTTGTCTCTATAAAATAAAGAAAAGTACCATTGTAATATTATTCTAACACAATTGTGGAACAAAAACATTTGAAGAAAATTACATGTTTTATAATGTATTGATTGTTTACAAGTAATACAAAGAGTTATTAAAGTTTATTAGTAATTATTACTTTGTATACTATGTTGTTGTACATGCTTTATATACTTCAAATGATTTTTTTTGTACAAAAATTAATTTTTTCCATTTGGTGGTGGGAGGGGGGTAAATACAGTGATTTGCCAGGGGTGCCACCAGACCTCAATACAGACCTGGTCAAAATAATTCGATTCGTTTTAATCGCTCTATAGTTTTTTAAATACCTCGTCATCGTCATCGAACTCGTCGTGACGTATAGACGCAACTAGAGCTCAAATATTGGGGGTGCAAAAATCACGTAACTCACGAAGCCAATTCCAAGTACCATATCACTCAATTTAATCATTAAATGTGCTATAACAACACGCATACACTAATATTTCAATATATAAATATTAACAAGCATAAATCGTAACATACCTATTTATTTCATTATACTATTTTATTTAGGTGATACAATACTAAGAAATACACAAATTAAAAAATATTGTACGCAATATACAGCATATAATATCCACACTAGTATTATCTGGCGATGACTAGTAGAATATTTTTCAAGTATTTCTGACGATGTAATTATTTAATAGTCACGAACAGTTCATCATTCTGACAAAAACATCAAATAAAACTACATATAAGAAAAACACTATTTTTTCATACGATTTTTTAACTATTAATTTTTCAACTGGGAGTGCTAAATTTGAGCCCCCCTAGTTACGCCTATGACCGTACGACATAATTGACGAACTAGTTTTCAGAACTATACTCGTGTTACACGAACTTATGCAATTCTCAGACGAACAAATGAGCATCGTCAATGGTCGTCGTACATCGTATTCTCGCGAAATCTTAGGAAAGGATGTAAAAATAATAAATATTAAATATTTTTGTGCACATTAAAACCGGAAATACTCAGAACGGAGTATGATCGATTCGTAGAACATGCGCTGTGTCGGCGTTCGTGTTTTTCTATCCCCCCGGGGCGTTCATTATTTTATCACATACACGTGCATTACGTACAATTCAGTGGTGGTTCAAGGGAGTAGGGGGTGAAAATAAAGCCAACTCTCCCCAATACATAACGTTTATATATATAATATACACACGGATTATAGGTAAGGTGTTTTGAACGGAACGATCCCGTTTTTCGTGTCTTTGTCCCGTTGTCCCCTGGGGAATCTTCGGAACATTAAAATTTCCCGTTTTCAGAAAATAGTACCCAACAACGATGGTCAATTTTGATTTGTTGATGGATTATTGTTTTTATTATTATTATAACTAGTATGTTTGCACACCACGGGTATATACTGTATCGTTGACCGTTTTCTTTACGTAGACGCTTTTCTTATATGAAAAAAAAAAATTGTTTACAATAAAAAACGAGTAACATATTAAATAAGTGTAATTAATTAATTACATTTTTTTTGTTTAACACCATAATAGTATTTAATTTTGTTAATAATTTTTAAATAAAAATAAAAATAAAAAAAGATATTTATTTATTTTGCCACATTTTGATTAGAAATATATACGGCTACCTTAATTATAGGTATAAATGAATAATAATGTTTATATATACATACAACTAAAACGCTTTAACATAAATTTATTAAAAACAAAGACATAAATGTATATAATAATAATTATGATAATTATATTTATATCAGTCGTGCGCGACTAACACATAGAGTATGATAATACATAATCCGTGGTTTAAAACCGAAAAATATTTTACTATCGAATCGTAAGTTCGAAAATTTGTAAACAGGTGTTGTTGGGTCAGCGGTGTACTGAATTTAAAAAAACCCAACGCGCGCATAATATTATCACGTCATGTTTACGAAATATGCGGTGGCCGCGCGACGCGTATTCAATATCAATTTTCATGTTTCAAAGCGGTTTGCACGGAGAGAGTCTCGCGTTGGAAGTGCATTTGCAATGCGGCGTTTGCGAACGACGAAGAACAATCTGAAATGATGTGAATATTGGCGATTCCGCCGTTACCGTAAATCAAATAAATTGTATAAATTACGATCTAATCATTAGCATAATATTTTGAAATATAGAAAATGTGCGGGTAATACGGGGAAACCTCGTCTGGGTCCCCCGGCTCAAATAAGCGGCTGAACGGGTTCCGACAATATAGCGGGGCTGGTTAACATATTTATAATTGTGCAAGGGGTCGTTGTCAATAGTCGGAATAACTCAAATAAGTTATCGTTAATATGCCAACGGATCTGGAAACCTTGTAAATCAAATAATCGGTGGTAGGTAGGAATTCAGATGTTTAATTTATACATCCGCTGAATGTCTAACTTGTCGCCGTCGTCACCGCAGGAATCGTAACCATTGCACTCGTCGTCGTCGGCAGACCCTAAATGGTGGCCCTCAAAAAGGCCGTTCTCTAACAGAACTGCACCATTACGAATTGTTCTCTTAAGTTCTCCTAAGAGGCCGTGCAAAGTGCCGATCCGATACCGTTTCGGGTAATGAAGGCAGAGCGTTTCCAAAGTCGACGATATGTGCACGCGCGTGCGAGGCACAATCACATTTTTTCGACGAGCAAACGCACGCGATGTGTCATCATTGTTCCGGACGCGAACCCTCCCTCCCCCCGAGAGAACGGCCACGTCCGCTCTTCCGCTTCAGCGCGTTCACATGAAGGGATCGCGTTCGATAGTCTCGTACGTAAAACTGAACGAACGCGCGACGAGCCGGTAATTAGGTGCGCACGAAATGGGTTTTTGTTTTCGCACCGCCGGACAAAGACCGGGCGATAGGAAGACCAAGATGGTGGGTAAGGGTCGTAGATAGACCCGCAAACGTCTCCACAATCAGGGGATCGGGGTGTCGTGGAGAAAGCTACGCGCGGGTTTACCGGTCCCTGGAGAGGACCTTGCGCGCGCGGGATGACGACCCGTGCCCGACAGCTGTACGGATCCACCGGACCGATGGTCACTATGATAACGCGACCGTGTAATCGGTCCACGGGATTCCGACGGGACTGCGTGCGGAGGTCTTGTGCTGAAACACTATGGACGTGCTTATAATGACTACTGCCGGTTTTTCTGGCGATTCGCCACCGCTGCCATTGTAACGACATGACGGTGTGTTCCGGCCGAACTCGCGGCCATGGCGAAACGGATCTCAAAAAAAACGTTTTCCCGCTCCCGTCGAAGTGCTGTGTTACCGCCCCGAGGTAAATTAAAATACGCTACATTTAAAAAAAATAATATTTTAAATGTCAAAAAATAAAATCGTAACGCTGAAAAGATGTTTACACACCTGACGGTGCAATACACTGACTGTCAAGATTAAATAAAACGATATACTTATGTACCTGAGTATTTTCAAGGAGAAAAAACGTACAGGAATTACGAAAATAGTTTATACGATTACAGCGCAAGTTCTTAATTCTCATCACCTTGTGACATGCAACGGTAGACTTTTTCGTGTTTTTTATGAACGAAATAATATGTATTACAGTTATACATTCATACGAGAAAAATCATAATTATATATTGTTTTGTGTTACGTTGATCTTCAAAAATTTGCCGCTCCATGACAATTGCCCCCTCGTTGAATTCGGCTCTGTCCCGGCGACGACTGGTGACCGCCGGTGTAACGGTACGCGCACATTCTAATCCACGGAGCCCCGGGCCCCTAAGAAGTTCTCGTCGGCCCTGGTTGTACACGGATTTCGGTCGGCAAGAGATGCGCGTATTTTTTCACCGAGAGACTTCATCGTTTTTGCGTGCAAATTATATCACGTCTGTTGATAACGCACCCGCGATATTGTACAACGGTGACCGACCAAGACTTAAATAATAACAGTGCACCGGCATAGAAGCGTTACAATGTACTATGTTCTTTTGAGTTATGATGCCCGAGATATTGAACCCGATGCATTTATATTTCGATTTATTATATTTTTTTTCCCTCCTGGAGAGTTTTTTAATCGCTGTATATACGTTGCTAAAACGTTATTTCGCATTGAAATCGGACGATCTGAAGTAGAAAATAATAATCGTACAAAATTAATTCGTCGTCGGAAGCGACTTTTAATGAAAATGTTACGGTTTCTTAAAAACAAAAAAAAAAAACGTTCTTTAGAGTGTTTCGCTAGACAGAAGTTCGTTCAATGGAGGTTAACCGTGTTTATTCGTATTCAGTCAAACGATATAGTATAATACGAGAACACCTAATCTGCAGGCGAAATTGTTTCCAGCGAAACAATCGCCGCCCAACAGAAATGCGGTGTTGTAGGTAAAGGAACTCATTTCGTCGCGTTACTCATCAGGAACATCGTTTTTGTCTAACAATAAGACGTGTTACGCCTTGTGACTTCAGTGCAACTCTCAATTTTCATCGTTATACATTACTATCATTAGGACTATACGATCGGTTCATTGGATAAAAAACAAGTACGCCTAACGTTACAAACAATCGGAAATCGAATTTTCATTATAAATCGAATGTTAAGGGTAAAAGTGAAATTTGTGGTTTCATTTAAATTTCATTTTAAACTACGGTGAACGGAATGTGTTTCACATAACTGTTCGTCCGATACAGGTCACCGGACGCCAACGGGTTACCATTTACTTAAATCTACACTTACGCCTACATGACATATTCGCACATCTCCACGTAAACGATAATCGCCGAGCGGGGTGATTTACTGTAATAAATGTAATGGTAAGCGCCTAAGCAATCATATTTTTGAAATTTAATGTATAATAAAACAATTATAAGAATTGTTAGCCATTAAGGATAAGTTACAAATATTGAATATAATAAAATATAATGATATTACACACACGCACACAACATTAGGTATAAAAAGCTCAGTTTTCAATCACGGGCTCAGGCGCGTTCTTATTGTCTTTTTCTACAGACGGTCAAAGGCGAATGTAAAAGACTACGCAGATCATCTATGCAGTAAGCCGTAATTAGTTATAAACGCGTTTTTAATAATATTTCAAAATACGTATATCGATGTATGTTAAAAAATTTAAATAAAATTAACAATAGTGAGTCAAAAAAAAAGTTTTTATTATTTTAAAATAAAAATTGGTCACCTTATCTTATATCTCAGACGTCAATTACGATTTCAACAGGCAAGTCGATACAAGGATCAGAGAGGTAATATTATTTGTTTATAATATCATAAGAAATTGATTTAAAAACATATAACCGTTCTCGGTAACTTTCTGTCAATTTTCAATCATAAATGAAAACTATAACAATACTGTAATAATAGTTTTATTGATTTAGTTAACAATCAGACTATCAAACCGAACATGGAACAGTAATAAAATGTGCGTAATGCGATTTCAACAATATCTTTTCGAGTTTATCATACGCTTTTTTAGTGGCTTATGTTCAGACATTCGTTTTCTTTTCTCAGCTTTGGTGGAAGATTTGTGCAAGGTACCGTTTTGTTCGTCTTGACTATTGTCGGATGCACTTAAATCTGGATAAGCTATATTGAGCAACGATGTTTCGATAGCTATGCGTGCTTTCAACTTTTTCGCAGGCGAGAGGACCGAAAACATTGGTATGAGACTCAACAAAAAATGCTTGTCATCGGAAATATTTTCGTCCTGATTCGCACACGTCGAATTGTTTACTTCAGCTGAATTTAGATTTTCGCATTCCGAGTTCAGACAGTTTAACGGATTGTCTTCGTCCGTACCCACTCCTATTTCCACTTCTGGATAAATGTTTTGGTATTGGATATCCGACAGGTACACCGGATTCGTGGTTTTGTGTAAGATCTGTTCTTTAATAAACATCATAGAAGAGAAGTACGGCCATCTGGACATATCTTTACCGCTGTCAACACTAGTCATGCAACGTTTGTACTCTTTGCGAAAATGATCTTTCAAATTTTTCCATTTTCCCCGGGCAGCTTTACCTAAAAATATAATATCAACGTTTAAAAAGTTGAATTCAACAATAGTATAACGCTTTATTAATTATATATGATGTGATTTTAAAAATAATAATGAGCAATTCGAGAAAAGTGTTTTCAAACCATAAGCAAATCAAACAAATTCAAAACTTAACATTATGCTAAGCTACAAACTACAACTTTGATAAATAAAATGTAATTAAATCGTATAAGACCTCGTAATCTTTATAATTATTTATAAATCAATGGATTTAATAAAATTAATTAGAAAAGCAATCAAATCAATTTTAAACTATTAGTCATCACTAGAGCCCGGATTTATATGCATTTAAAAAGTGTCAAATATGATGCATCTATGGAAAGAAAAAGTGGCTAAGTATGTAATTATAAGCATTATGCTACACTTTATAAAATGTGTTTTTTTTTATAAACCACATTTTTATACCAAATAAAATTCTAAATATTTTATCAAAAAAAAAAAAAAAAAAAAAATGATAATATCCAATGCTTTATATTTCAAATCATTTAAATTAATCTAAAACTTTAAGGAAACTTAAAAACGAGAATATAAAAAAAAATTAACTAAATATTTTAATTATATAAAGATTTTATAAATATTTTAGATAATTTGAAGTTACCTACTCTCAAAGAACTAATAGAAAACTCAAAAAAAAAAATAAATATAAATCTTTTAGGATAATATTTTTGAAACCTAATACCTATCATGTCTATTCATGTTGTATTCGAGGCAATTACAAAATGTATTGTAAATTAAAATAGATAATTTATTAAAAACCCATTAAATATGCATGTTATATGCACTTATGAACAAATATGCAATAACCTTCGAAATATGCAAAACATGCAATATAAAATTTGGTGTACAAATTCGGTGTGATATGTATCATGGACATTTTAAACTTCCAGAGACGTGCATACACTTAATACAAACATGCAAATGTATATAAATCCGGGCTCTAGTCATCACATATAGTCGATAATAATAATTAAATCAATAATAATCGATAAATAAGTTTAAGTATCGATTAATCTTAAGTGCTTACGTATGCATTTAAAGTTGTCAAGTTTTTTTAAGAATATTTTTAAATATTTTTATATAAATCATTAAAAATAATTGAACATTTTAAAAGGTATTAACAACTGAAATACACACATTTTTTATACGAGTATACTATAATTTTGCAGTAAAATATATTTATATGTAAAAATAAAATTAAACAATTATTTTTAATAAATATATTTATATAAAGTTCTAGGTTACGGATATTTATAAATTTCTCAATTCCCTAACTAAATATGCTTGTTATTTTTTTTTTTTATGACTAACTCTACTTGAAACTTTCATTCGAAACATATTTATATTCACTATAGAATATTTTCATTTATATACCTACTATACATATAATAATAATAATATATATTACTATTAATAGTATATGTTTTATGTAAAATGGTCAGAAAAATGTATGAAAGTATTCATCATATCAATATAACACATAACCTATATTATTCCACTAAAGCTGAAATATGTATTATTGCATATGAGTGTTCGTGTAAATACATATCGTTTTGTATAATTACATTTGCTATTCGGTGAAATGGATTTAAGTGTAAACGTATTGATTCATAATGTTAACCGCTATTATATTTGAACAAAAACCACTCAAAAGATCGTATAAATATATTAACAATAAAATTTACCACATACGTAAAATACCATATAATATAAATGTTCATATAATACCTTATATTGAACCCGCGCAATTTCACGAGGTAAATCTGATGAACATCATCGTTTCGTTTTATTAACATTTTAGACAATTTATTTTCCTCTAACTTCTCAAAAGCCTAAGCTACCAATTTTTTTTAAACAGTATTGAAGTCGGTACTCGATTGAATTTACTAAAAATTATTATCAAAATGCTAAAAGACCTTGGGTTCCTGAAGTACCAACGATTGAATGCGTACCATTGAAAAGCTATACAAAAAAAAAAGTGTATCATTGTTAGACCATTATTAATTTCAAATGTATTTAACTAATAAGACGGGAAAAAATTATACGAAAGTAGACATTCGGACACGACTCGGAAAAGTATTTGAAAAAGGTTGATTTTTGTCAAAAGAGTTTACTGCGCGATTTATTGTTAGCGGATTTTGATAACCAACATTTCGAAAAGGTTGTAATAATAACGCTTTCTATTTCAAATCGCATTATGTACGATTCGAAAGAAAAGTAACATTAAATACAATTTTCAGCAGATAAATGCGCAGTTAACGGCAGACCAAACTTAAGGCCTACGGCGCGGCGTAGGTATATAAAAATGGCGTTGGAAGAATTTTTGCGATTTGTTTTCACGAATCGCAGGTTTTATTACAGATATTTCTCGGTGGAATTTCCATCGTGCACGATGCGCGTACGTTCGAAGTCGATTGCACACAGGATTTTTTTTTCAGAGGGGTCAAGATAAAAATATAACACATTTTACAATAAACAAAATTATGCAAATCCTTTATATATTTTTACTTAAACAATGGCATTGATAATAGAATAGACTATTCTATAATCAATGATACTAGGTATTCAATACTAGCTCTTCATATTTCAAACTTGTAAAATTTGTAAATTTTAACCTAGACCTAGGAGAAAATTTCGAGGGGGAGGGTTACAACCCCTTACACCCCCTGCGTGCGCCACTGATTGCACACATGGTATTCGTACACGGCGATACGATTACTGTCCGATGTGTTTCAGCGTCCACTCGCCCGCGCCAGAAGTATTTTCATGTTTTTAAATACGACCGATTACCGATTTACAGTCGGAATTTATAGAACAACACGTATTATTTTACGAATTTTATTTTAACATTTTTTAAAACTATTATCCTATAAAAATGTATAATAGTTATCATATAAAAGTTTAGATTTGATTTTTTTATTGTTAATATTATTGTTTTTAAAAACTTAACAATGCATGAGATTCACACTTCCTCTCCCAAAGAGAAGGTTTCTTAACCATTTAAATATTGGACAAACGTCCTGCGAGGACTAGGGGCCTATGGCCTACGAGAGTGTTAATCCGGGCCTGCCATCAAGACACAGATAATGTTCTTCCCTTAAGTTTGATTATAGGCTTGTTTACTCTATTATAAACGCTAATATCACTACATTTGAATCGGTGAACGCAAATTTGCTATGTTGTCCCGTATGTCACATCACATGCGAATGTGCGACATGAATTGCTCAAGTCGAACACTGCGATTCTACGGCGAAAAACCGACATCAAAACAGTCGAGGATCGACGTGCACGCGTGTCGACTCCGTCCTCTACACGAGGCGATTCTCAACCGGGGGGGGGGGGGGGGGTCACCAACAATTTTATAAGGGTCGCAAAGAAAATTATTTCATATCAACAACAGCAAAAGAGTCGTTAAATTAAAAAAATATTAAAATTTACATAATTCTTGTTTTATTTATACATATTTTTTTCTATTAATCAACGCCAATCGCCTTTTTTTGTAAAATGTATACATAAATGAATAAAATAATAACATTTTGTAAAATTGTTCAATGCTTGAATTACAAAAGGGTCGTTAGACGTCTTGGTGACGTTATAGGGGGTGACGAACTCAAAAAGGTTGAGAACCGCTGCTCTACACGGTGTCGATGTTGTCGCGCGAGATCTACAAAGCGACGACCACGTACCCCCCGCAGTGGCGGTGAGGATTTATTTACTATTTTCTAGATCGGGAGGCGAACGCAGTACGCGCAAGATGGATGTCGAACAGCAAACGGATACGGTTACGGGGGATTTTTTTCCCTGCCCATCGGTCCGGGGCAACCGAGGGTTTTGGTCGGGGCGGTGCGCAGGAAGAGGTACGGCCGTCCGGCGGTCGGTCGTGAACGAGATACCGGTCGGCGGGGAGAACTGATAGTGGCGACCGAGCAACAAAACACTGTCGCAGCGAGACGAGAACGGTTCAAGGTCGGCGCCGCGTGTAAACTCTGCCTCTGGCCGTGTGCACGACGCGCCGCGGTGGCGTCTGGGTCCGAGCGTCGCGGTACGATGGCGGG